CGGGCTCAGGCAATCCACTCACCTCAGCCTCCCAAAGCGCGGGATTACAGGCGAGTCACCGAGCCCGGCTGGGTGCTTTTGATTCTAACTGTCCCACCCACATTCTTGTTCATTCACTGAATATGGATTTGTACATCCTTCTTGCCCAGGCACCATTCTAGGTGTTGACACAGAGATAAACGCAAAAGTGTGGCACTCTCATAGAACTGACACCGTAGACAGGGAAGGTGGGTGAGAAGCAAGACAAGACAGTTTCCCACTGTCTGTAGAAATTAAAACTGGGGGAGGTGGTGGCTGGGGAGTGGCCAGCTGGGCAGGGAGGTGCGACTTGAGATGAGGCGGTCAGGGAAGCCTTCTCTGAGGTGACCTTGGGCTGAGGCCTGTATGAGGAGGTAGCAGCTACATGATGATGTGGAAGATGATTGGGCAAGGCTGTGGGGGCAACCAGGGAAGAGGCCCCTTGAGCTGCAGCTGAGAGTGGAGAGTCATGCTGAGTGGGTGATAAGGTCACTGGGACCTGCACCCCCACAGTGAGGAGACTGGAGCCCAAGGAGACAGAGCTGCCGGCCTGGACCTCTGGCTGTCTCTGCCATTCTTTCTACCGTCCTGGCCCCTCCTGGAGCCAGGCCTTTGGGGACACACATGTCACTAGGAAGTGCAACAGAGGCTGGAAGTAGATTCAGTTCTACCCACTGGCTAGAAACTGACAGCTGACACTTGAGTCTCTGTCAGCAGATGAGGAATTTCTCAAGTGGGGAAATGTTCACTGACTACTTTGAGGGCTGACGTCAAAGAGGTCAAACTACTTGCTGTTTGTGGTTAACTGAGAAAGAGCCTGCTTGGGGCAGGGGAATAGTCTTTCCTAGGAAGCACAGGGACCACAGGTCAAGGAGAAGGGCCATGGATCTCTCGCTGCCTCCAGCCTGGCCACCTGGCCCCAGGTTTGGCAGCAGGAGTGAACCACTCACAGCATCAGCTTGGAGCTTGGAAAGCCCACTAACCCTGCCCACTTACTAGCTGGAGTGGGGCAGTCAGTTCCTTTATTCTGGCTTAGGCTTTTGCCCCTGTAGGAATAATTTCTAATATATGAGTCATCACAATATATGTGAAAAGGTTCGATTTCACCCATTATAAACAAAGACTCAGTTTGGGTTAAAAAAAATGCAGGCATACAAGACACGTTTAAAATAAAAAGGCATAGTTTTACCTCTCCTAACAATCACATCTACCTGGGAGGTACCTGGAGCCATAGGTCTCCCCTCCTCCCCATTTGCCATGTGATCTCAGGCATGTTGACCTCGGGACCTTAATTTCTTTGTCTGTAAAATGGGGATAAAGCTCAGCCTGTAATCCCAGCACTTTGGGAGGCCAAGGCAAGAGGGATGCCTGCACCCGGGGATTCGAGACCAGCCTGGGCAACTTGTTGAGACCTCGTCTCCACAATAAGTCACAAAAACTAGCCAGATGTGGTGGTGTGCATCTGTAGGTCCGGCTACTTGAAAGGCTGAAGCGGAAGGATCACCTGAGCCTAGCAGGTTGAGGCTGTGGTAGCTGTGAGTATGCCACTGCACTCCAACCTGGGCGACAAAAAGTGAGACTCTAACTAAAAAAAAATGGGGATAATGATCAGGGCTGTGGGGGGATGACTGCACATGGTGTTGATTTGTTTCATCAGACACTTGCACCTTAGTGTGGACAAGTTTCAGGTCCTTTCCTGAGACTAGGTTTAGATCAGGAGAGGCAGGCTAAAAAGCTCAAGAGCATCTGGGAGGAGAAGTCCAGAAGTGAGGGTCAGGGGCCAGTCTTTACCTGCAGGCCTGTCCTGGAGCCACACTGGATGTCCCGTGGCCTGGGTGACACTCTGGATAACCAGCTCCGAAATCAACAGAAGTCCAGGCCCAGACTCAACTTCCTGGGCTGAGGGAAGTGGAGAGTTGGGTCAGAGTGACACAGGAAGTAGAGGAGGAAGAGATGGCAATAGCAGAGGGTGAGGAAATCCCAGGCCTCACCCTTGTCTTAGCTGGAAACAGAGGCCAAGCCCATCCAGGCTTCCTTCAACGAGCAGTCATTGATGCTGCCTGCGCCGGGCCCTGTGCTGGTGCATGGGGTAAACCCACCCAGCTTGCCTGTGTCTTTGGCTTCCTTCCTCCTTACCAGCCAAGGCAGGCTCTTGGCGTTTCGGCCTCTTTGGTTGGAAGCTGAGGCTTCAACCAACCACTTCAGCAAACAGGACCACTCCCAGCTGCCTGAGCTGCTGCCCTAAAGCCGGCGTCTCTAGCAAGTCCACCCACGAAGGCTCAGCCCAGCCTGAGATGCTGCTGCTCCTCCTCTGGTCTAGTGCCCTTCCACTCATTTCCATGCAGATACCCCAGGCTTTTGCTGGTACGAATTAGCAGAAACTCCCACTCATCGGGTGTGTAAGCCTCCTCTCTGCAGGTCAGATTTCTTTTTCTTTTTCTTTTTCTTTTTTTTTGAGTCAGAGTCTCACTCTGTTGCCCAGGCAGGAGTGCAGTGGCACGCTCACGACCTCCGCAGCCTCGACCTCTCGACCTGCTGGACTTAGGTAATCCTTCTACCTCAGCCTTCCAAGTAGCTGGAACTACAGGTGTGAGCTACCACACCCAGCTAATTTTTTGGATTTATTGTTGAAACGAGGTCTTACCAAGTTGCCCAGGCTGGGCTCAGGCAATCCTCTCACCTCCACCTCTTAAAGTGCTGGGATTATAGGTGTGAGCCACCATGTCTGGCCAAGTCAGATTTCTTTATGTAACTGTATGTCCCTGGAGGCACAGTTTGCCCAAGGTCACAAACCTCATCTATGACTCCAGAGCTTGAATGTGTAGCCCTTTCGCCTCCAGCCTTTGCTTTAAAACAAGTACCCCAAAAATAAATAAAACAAGCACCCTGCTTAGAAAGCCCTGAGAGTCCTGTGGCTGGAACCTTCATGGTCTGAGGTGGGGTATGGACAGGGCCTTGTAAAGGTCAGAAGTAGGGACAGAGCTGAACCTCTCCCAGGCCTGTGGTGGTGCCCTGGATAGCCAGCTCTTCTCTGAATCTTGGGTACCCCGAGGAGGCCTCCTTTCACCTGGGTAACACTCCCTTCCCCAGCCCAGGGTTCCCCCAGCCTCCTCCCCATCCAGGCTCAGGGAGGGAACAGCATTGAGGAAAGGTCTCTTTTCCTCTACAGGAAAGTTCTGGCACATCAGTGACCTGCACCTCGACCCTGACTACAGTGTATCCAAAGACCCCTTAAAGGTGTGCCCTTCTGCCGGCTCCCAGCCAGTGCTCAACGCAGGCCCCTGGGGTGACTACCTCTGTGACTCTCCTTGGGTCCTCATCAACTCCTCCATCTACGCCATGAAAGAGATTGAGCCGGAGCCGGACTTCATTTTCTGGACGGGGTGAGTGGAGTCGTGGCAGCAGCTATCTTTGCAGGGAACCTGCTGGGTGCCACACACCAGCCTGGCGCCTTATCTCCTTTGAGCCTCACATCGGCCCCATTTTCGAGGCAAGGAACTTGCCCGAGTCCCTGGGTCTGGCTGATTCCAAAGTCTGTGTCCACAACTTCCATGTCTCCTGGCCTTGGCAGGACACAGCGATCACTGAGGCTGAGGACATAGTCGTGGCATGTCTGGGCACCTGGGAAATCCTCGGTTTTGAGCTGGAGGGATAATGGAGTCACTCTCCCGGGAACTCTAAGCCTGAGAGATCCAAATTCAGGGAGGGAAGAAGGCTCCGGGGCTGAAAGGGGTCCAGCCTTGGGGCCAAGCATCCTGGTCAGCTGCTGGCCATCCCTGGGCTGCCTGGGAGGCCTGGAGCATTCTCTCTGGTCAAGCACTCCTCAGCACAGGGGTAGCTTGAGGGCTGATTCCGCTCAGCCAGAGACTCATTTTCTGCTTCTCCTCGAAGGATGCAGCTCTGTGTCCCTCAACTTTCCTGGAAACTTGTCTTCCTTGTCACTCAAGGTCTCTCCATCCCCTCGCTGGTTCCCTCACTTGGGAAATCAACCTGTTGTGTGCTCAGTGCTGTGGCAGGCACTGGGAACTGAGATGATGGAGACTGAGACTTTCCTTTCCAGGAGGTCACAATCTGGTGGGTGACGCAGTGAGGAGAGAGGGTCACCTGGGGGATGCGGGAGCTTCACAGGCCACTGGACCCCATCTGGCAGGAAGTGGTGGACCAGGGGAGCTGGTGAGGAAGGCTGGAAGGGGCTCTGACTTTGTGCCAATCTCAATGGCTACTTCTATAAGGTGGGATGAAACTCAAGATACCCCCAGTTGTCCATCACTGTGACGTGGAAGTGACCCAGAATGACTCTCAGATACACCCTGTGGTTGGTGGGGGAGAGGTGAGCCAGGACACTTAAGACTTGTGACATTGTTTCAGAAGGGGTCTGGGCAGCTCTGGCTTCCTTGGGTTCAGAGTCAATCTAAGAAAGGAGTGAGCCAGCCGGGCTTGGTGGCTCAGCCTGTAATCCCGCGCCTTTGGGAGGCTGAGGTAAGTGGATTGCCTGAGCCCGCGGGTTCAAGACCCACCTGGGCAGTGAGACCTCATCTTTACAATAAATAAAAAAATCAGCCGGGCATGGTAGCATATGCCTGTAATTCCGGCTACTCGGAAGGCTGAGGCGGAAGGATGGCCGGAGCCCAGCAGGTCGAGGCTGCGGTGGCCGGGAGTGGCCACTGCACTCCAGTTTGGGTGACAGAGTGAGACTCCAACTCAAAAAAAAAAAAAAAAAGAAAGGAGTGAGCCTTAGCCCATGACCTTGGACACCTGCTCCTTCAAGGGGTCTTGCTGGTGAAGCACCTGGTTTCTCAGGGGAGGGGGAGAAGACTATGCAGCATTCTGAAAGACATGATCCTTCTCGGAAAGGTTTTGGGAAATTTATGAACCTTTGAGAGATGCACAGTTTCCTGGGAAATCTCTAGGTCCTTGAAGAAGTGTGGTCTCTAGGATCCTTTCTAATTCTTCAATTGTAAAGATGTTTAACTTCAAGCTGGACGCGATGGCTCAAGCCTGTAATCCCAGCACTTTGGGAGGCCGAGGGGGAAGGATTGCCTGAGTCCAGGAGTTCGAGACCAGTCTGGGCAATTTGGTGAGACCTCTTCTCTACAATACATCAAAAAATTAGCCGGGCATGGTGGCACACACCTGTAGTTCCAGCTACTTGGAAGGCTAAGGCGGAAGGATCACCCGAGCCCAGCAGGTTGAGGCTGTGGTGGTCGTGAGTGTGCCACTGCACTCCAGGCTGGGTGACAGAGTGAGACGCTGACTCAAAAAAAAAAAAAAGAAAGAAAGATATTTGACTTCTGTAAGAGCTGCAGTTCCTTGGAGGATAACCAGGATAAATTGGAAGTGTTTTCTATCAGATGGAATGGGTTTCCGGCTTGTCCCAAAGAGCTTTCAGGGCTAAGCAGTAACTTTTGCTGCCCTCATGAGGGTCACAGAGACAGAGTAGGATGGGAATATAGATTCTGGGGCCAGGCTGACTGGATTCAAATGTTGGCCTCTTTACCATCTAGTTGTATGCAGTTAAGCACAATTCTTTCCCCACCCCCCACCTCTGGTGCCTAAATCAGGATAGGCACAAATTCTTTTTTTTTCTTTTTTTTTATTATTGAGCTGGAGTCTCACTCTGTTGCCCAGGTTGGAGGGCTATGGCATGCTCTCGGCCATCACAGCCTCAGCCTGCTGGGCTCAGGAGGACCTTCTGCCTTAGCCTTCCAAGTAGCTGGAACTATAGGCACACGCCACCACACCTGGCTAATTTTTTGATTTATTGTTGAGAGGAGGTCTCGCCAAGTTGCCCAGGCTGGTCTCAAACCCTTGGGCTCAGGCAATCCTCTCGCCTCTGCCTCCCAAAGTGCTGGGATTACAGGTGTACTGCGCCCAGCCAGGATAGGCACAATTCTTAACCTTTCTCTGCCTTGATTTCCTTATCTGTCAAATGGGCCTAACAATAGAATCTGTACTATAGGGTTATAATGAGGAACAAATTAGTGGACACGACTGTACCACACAGAAAGTACTTGGCATGAAGTCATCCAGTGTGAGTGCCTCGTAGTTGTGTAGGTATGATTAAGCGAGTTAGCCTCCCTGGGCAGGTGCCAGGGCACCAGAGGATTTGGAGTTAGACTGCTTGGACTTCCCCAAGACAGCCACCATTCACCTCCTGTTGCCCTCACCTTGGTAAGCATGAGGTGGATCAAAGAATTTAGATCAGTGTAACGGGAGACAAAATGGTTCTGAGACAGGTCCTGGGCCTGCCCCAGGGAAGACCTGAACCCTACATGCTGAAGCTGGCTCCAAGCTCCTTCGGCCTCTTGGGAAAATGAGCAGAATTCAGATATGACTTCTCAACCCTGAGCTCCCGTGGGGATTGCAGATGGGACTAGAACATCCCGACTTCCATTTCTAAATAATATTAATTACAAGTAGCAGCTACTATTACTGTACTACTCCCTTTGATTGAATTCTCACAAGTACTTTATGAGTAGATACCTTATTATCCCAGTTTTACAGACAAGCTAAGAGAGGCTCAGAGAGGTTAAACGATCAGCCCAGGGACCCACAGCAGGTAAACAGCAGAGCTCCAGTTTGAACTCTGTCAGACTCCAAACCGGCCTGACCATTGCCCCTCAAGTGGATACCTGAGGTCCAGTACCACCGGCCTTCTCACTGCAGAGCTGTCTTTTCCTTTCCTTGAGCCCCTTCCCGGGTTACCCACCCCAATTCAGCTTGGTGGTGCTTTGCAGTGATGACACGCCCCATGTGCCAGACGAGAGGCTAGGAGAGGCAGCTGTGCTGGACATCGTGAGACGCCTGACTGAGCTCATCAGAGAGGTCTTTCCAGGTGAGACTACCGTCGGTCCCCTCACAGTGTTTCCTGAGCCCTAGGCAGTGCCTGGCACAGTGCAGCAACAGAACAGCAGGTGCAGAGACCTTCATCCAGGTGCTTCACAGAGACCATTTCTTACCTTCCCAATGAGCCTGCAAGCCACATGCAGGCCCCCTGTGGACCTCCAAGGACTCCTGTTAAATGCCTGACTGCTCACTGCCTTCTGCTCCTCCTACTTATCCAGACCAGACTCACAGCCCCTCTTCTCCAGGTGTCTCCAGTTGTTCAGGCATGGTCCCCAGGTAAGTCTCATACCAGCCTTGTGTCCTGGAGTTGGCTTCGGCCCTGGAGTTGGCATCCACCACACTCAAACCATCCAGGCTGCCAGTGCCTCTCGGAGAGGCTCATTTTTAGCCAAGATGCTGCTTCTTGTTGCTTCCAAGGCTTCAGAGCCTGGCGGGGCAGGCTGGGACTGCAAGAGAATGAGACAGCAGCCCTATGTGACATTACAGGGAAAATAGAGTTTGTGCACTCCATCTAATGACCCTTGGAAATGTTTATAAGCAGGCTGTATCAAATGCAATGTCCTGGGGGTCAGCCCAGGGGACTCAGTCAGGCTCACAGGCTGCCAGCTGGGGACCTGGGAAAGCCCCCACTAGCCCTCACTCTCCATTTCCTTCAGGTTCTGGTACAGCTGCTCCTTCTAAAGGTCTTAGTCATGGTCCCCAGGATCCACATATGGAATAATGATAATAAAAATAAACAATAACAAAAGCAGCAACCACCAAGGGTTAGGGGTCAGGCCTGCCCTGAGACTTCTATTTGCCTTAGCTCATTCATTGTCAGGATAATCCTATTGCCCCCTCAATTGTATTGATGAAGAAGGTGAGTCCTGGGGTCACGCAAACTGGTCATAGTCACGTGGCAAGAATGGGGACCCAAATCCTGGGTTGAGCACTGCTGTTATCCACCACATCCACCCATCTCCTTCCCTCAATGTAAATCAACTTATGAAAGAGATCCCTGGGTGCTTCCAGCGTATCCAGCCCAACCCAACCCAGGCTGCTTGGCAACTTCATCTTTCAACAGAGGGGACTAGTCAGTTTCTAGGGGGGGATTCAATCTCACATCCCACTGAACCTATACTTCCTTTGCTCCACATGGGGCTTCTAGAATAAACATGAAATAATGGATAAGAACATGTCTTGTGAACTACAGCTGAACACACAAATGTAAGTGGTAAGATTCTGTGGTTTATACCACAACTGGACATTTACTGACTTTCCTAATATCTAGGATGTCACTGACGGAAAGATGCATCAGCATTTTATGTATCCCCAAAACTGCCAATTACTGTCTGACACAGCCCTTCTCATGGCCACCAAGGGAAGACACGCTTCCCTTTTAGTCCCTTTTAGAGATGGTGAAAGGAGAATAACCTGGAAGAGGTGAAATGAGTTATTCTGTTATCTGAGAATTATAACAACCCAGGACAGGCAGGACACTTCCCATCTGATGGGTGACTAAACTGAAGTGCAGAGAGCCGAGTGAGTGGTTTGAGATTCCACATTGTGTGTTCTTCCTGCTGTGTTCTGCCTGTGTTACTCACTGAAGTCATTGTGAACACTGGTCCCTGCCTCTCCAGCACAGTTGAGTGGTTGAGAACACAGGTGCACAAAGTAAACAAATCCAGGGCCCAATTCTAGCTCTGCCATGTTCTAGCTGGGTAATCACATTGAGACTCAGTTTTCTTCCTGTGAAAACAGGAAAATGGTGCACTTGCCTGTAGGGTTGTTATGAGGATTGGAGAAGGTAATCCATCATTCAGTCCATCAACAAATACTTATTTAGAATCTACTATGGGTGAGACACCATTCTAGGTGTAGAGGACACATGGCAATGAATAAGATACTAGGTCGCATCCTCATGGAGCTTATTCTTATAAGGAACCTGGCACAGAGAAACAGTAAAAAAAAAAATGGGAGTAGGCTAGGCTTGGTGGCTCAGCCTGCAATCCCAGCACTTTGGGAGGCAGGGGCGAGTGGATTATCTGAACCTGTGGGTTTGAGACCAGCTCAGGCAGCTTGGTGAGACCTTGTCTCTAAAATAAATAAATAAACAAACAAACAAACAAACAAATAAATAGGCCAGGCATGGGAATGTATGCCTACAGTTCTGGCTACTTGGAAGGCTGAGGTGGAAGGATCACCAGAGTGCATCAGGTCTACGCTGGGGTGACTGTGAGTATGTCACTGTACTCCAGCCTGGGTGACAGAGTGAGACTCCAACTCAAAAAAATAAAAGGAATTTTGTTCTTTTTTATGGCTGCGTAGTATCAACAGGGTGTCTGAATGAAACGTAATTGTACACCTAACCCTTAACCATACCCCACAAAACCATAATAAAAAATACTGATTAATTATTAAAAAAATAAAAAAAATAAAAAATAAAAGGGAATGATTCCCTCCCTTCTCATCTGCCCTTGGGATTCCAGGGATTTGTGTTTTTTCTTATGCTGATTCTTTTTTTTTTTTTTTGAGTCAGGGTCTCACTCTGTCACCCAGGCTGGTGTGCAATGGCATGATCACGGCTCACCGCAGCCTCGACCTTCAGGGCTCAGGTGATCCTTCCACTTCAGCCTCCTACAGGTATGGACCACAATACCTGGCTTATTTTTTAATTTTTTGTAAAGATGTGGTCTCACTATGTTGCCCATCGCCCAAGCTGGTCTCGAACTCCTGGGTTCAAACAATCCTCCCACCTCGGTGCTCCCAAAGTGCTGGGATTACAGGCAAGCGTCACCAAACCCAGTCTTAAATGGATTCTTGATGGTTGCTGGCATTTCCTTTAGAGATGTGAGGTCTTTCCAGGCAATTACAGTGATGCATTCGACAACCTCCTTCTTTGGCAGAGCTCTCAGCATTTCCAGATCTTGTAGGTTATACAGAATGCAAGGTGTGTGTGTTAGAGATATTTCCCAACTGGGAATTGGACACTCCGGCCTCCTTTACTGGTTCCAGGTCACTCCCCAGGATAAACCAAGCTCATTAAGGGCAAGGGCAAGCCTTAGCTCTGAGCCCAAGAAGAGTTCTTCTTTACTGTCAAATATTTATCGAGCATCTACTACATATCAGGCACAGAGCATAAAATAAAAGGAGAGATGAGGCTGTTCACGTGGAGGAAATGAGTCCAGTGGGCTCCCCTACACCTCCGGGTCTCATTCACAGGCCTCTTCCTCAGGGAAGACCTCCTACCTTCTGTATCACACCCACAGCAATTGGCCTTCCCTTTTTGTGACAGCCCTCACACCTCTAATTACTCAGTACCTGCCAGCTCTATTGTACTGCAAGTCTCTGGGACTGGGACTCTGCATTGGCACATAGCAAGTGCTCAATAAAACATCTGCTGACTTCCATGGATGAGTGAGACTTCTTAGGCCTCTCTTCCATAGTAGTAGGTGGATCTAGAATTGACAAGAACTGGGGCTGGGCATGGTGGCTTACACCTGCACTTTGGGAGGGCAAGGTGGGAAGATTGCTTCAGCCTAGGAGTTCGAGACCAGCCTGGACAACATAGTGAGATCTAATATTTACAAAAGAAAAAAAAAAATCTAAAAATTACCGGACGTGGTGGCAACTTTCCCAGCTACTCGGAAGACTGAGGTGGAAGGATTGCCTGAGCCCAGGAAGTCAAGGTTGTGGTGAGCCACGATTGTGCCCCTGCACTCCAGCCTGGGCAACAGAGTGAGACTCTGACTCAGGGAAAAAGAAAATGGAAAAAAAAAAAAAAAAAGAACCGGGAACACTAAATTACCAGGTGGCTGCCAGTTGCCAATGATCTGATCTGATTATTTAGACATTCTAGTCAGCATCTGGTGCCTTCTTTTTTTTTTTTGAGTTGGAGTCTCACTCTGTCACCCAGACTGGAGTGCAATGGCCGCTCCCGGCCACCGCAGCCTTGACCTGCTGGGCTCTGGTGATCCTTGAGCCTCAGCCTTCCAAGTAGCTGGAATTACAGGCGTGCGCTACCACGCCCGGCTAATTTTTGATTTATTGTAGAGATGAGGTCTCACCAAGTTGCCCAGGCTGGTCTCGAACCCGCGGGCTCAGGCAATCCACTCACCTCGGCCTCCCAAAGTGCTGGGATTACAGGCTGAGCCACTGAGCCCGGCCCATCTGGTGCCTTCTTTCTGGCCAGGAGCTTCCTCAGTGGAACAGGGTTAGGGACTGGGATCAGAGAACTCACTGCCCTTCCTTCCCAGGTCTGAGCCAAGTACAACCAGATTCCATCAAATGCGGTCTTCCACTTATCTCTGTATTCTCCTCATCTGTGCTATCGCTCTTCCTCATCAGTTCTGCTGGCTGGCGGTCAACTGAAAATGACTAACTCCCCCATGTGCTTCTGCCTGTATATTTTTTATGTTTCTCCTTTTTCTCCCAGATACTAAAGTCTATGCTGCTTTGGGAAATCATGACTTTCACCCCAAAAACCAGTTGCCAGCAGGGAACCACAGCATCTACAATCAGGTAGCGGAATTATGGAAACCCTGGCTCAGTAACGAATCCATCGCTCTCTTCAGAGAAGGTACTAGCACCATCTGCTACTACAAGGAGTGCTTGCCAGTGTCTCCTCTAATGTTGTCTTCACAATAACCCCTTGACCTAGGCACTGACTTTATCCCCATTTTATAGCTAAAGAGACTAAGGCTGGAAGATACCGAGTCACTAGGTCAAGGTCATAAAGCTTAGAAAAGGAAGACTTGAGTCGGACTGGTGGCTCAGCCTGTAATCCCGCGCCTTTGGGAGGCTGAGGTGAGTGGATGGCCTGAGCCCGCGGGTTCGAGACCTGCCTGAGCAAGTTGGCGAGACCTCATCTCTACAATAAATCAAAAAATCAGCCGGGCGTGGTAGTGC